CAAGCCAGCTCTTAACCAACGCGCCACTCGGCCGGCCCAACATGGGTATTTTGGAACATTAATAAAATGTTGGTCAGGAACAACTGACTTAATACTAGAGTATCTTATAATATGCGTATAATCTGAGTTTTAGCTCTTGTCCTAACCCATTTCAAATGTCACCTCCTTTCTCTTTCCTTAACCATCACCCACAGATGAAGGTTGTAAATGAGGTTGATTGATCAGAGTTCTCTTTTTCTCTCTTTTTTTGGAATGCCTTCTTTGTGTCAGTCACTATTAATAAACTACAACTAAGCTACATAAAGTTCTGTTATTGCTACAAATGATTTAAAAATTCTAGCAGTGAATTAATTTTGACTAATAGGTTGCTAATTCTGACTACTTGGATTTTTTTACTTTACCGATATTGAAGAAAGTAATTCCAAATGATGTTTTATTTCCTAGTGTGACTGTGAAGTACTATGGAAAAGCATCCCATGCTGCTGCTTATCCCTGGGAGGGAGTCAATGCATTAGATGCTGCTGTCCTTGCCTACAACAATCTGTCTGTGTTAAGACAGCAAATGAAACCAACCTGGAGAGTTCATGGTATGAATGTCAAATACTTGATGTAATAGATAATGCTTAATATATTTCAATGCAATACAATTACTTAATCATTTGATTTTTTTTTAATTGGAAACATTTTATGTACTTCATATGAATGTTCCAAAGTTTGTAAACATTTTCAGAAGTTATACGACAGGATACTAGGATGTTTGTCTATATGTAGATAAGAAGACAGTTAAGATTATTTATACATAAATGGAATGGTCATTTTGAGTATTAGAGATGATAGTTTTATGTAAGGATTTGTGTTCTCTCTGTGGTCATTTGAAAGTTAGAATTTGATTTCCAGTATCCTAACTGTACCTTAATGATAATGAAATTTTGTCATTTCCTCAATTTAAAAAAGAGTTATGGTTTTATTTATGCAAGTGATGTTAATCCTGAGTAACATCTTTTAAAATTACCTATATTCCTTTAATATAAATACAGTAATAAAGTACAGTTTTGAAGGTACAAATTTAGTTTTTAGTTTATTTCCTTATGCTTTGGGAATTTAATTATATTTTAATATCCATTCTTTACCTGATTTTGTTGTAGCCTGAAATCAGTTTGTAATTACACTTTTACCAATTCCCTACCTTAGTTTCTTTAAAATGAACAAGCAGGAATATGTAAAAAAATATTTTTTAAAAACCAGGTCATATAAAATTAGATTTTGCATACCTATTTTAGTTATAACTGAATGGATAAATCTTCCTTCTGTGTGTAGTTCCAAATAAATGCATTTGTTTTCACAGTTAATAGTACTTAGTGATCTTTGACNACGTCCCAGCCTGGCCTTAGCCAGAAGGCAGAACCCCTGGATAAAAATTCATGAGTTAAGGACCTAGCGACATTTTGCAGATTTTTGTTTTTTGTTTCCTCTTATGTAGTTGTAAACAGTTGAGTGGACTCTCCCTTTGGAAAGAACTTAGAACCAAGCCTGGTTTTTGTTATGGCTTATTTTTGGTAACAGACGACCGCTATTTGCTGAAGAGGTTGTGCAATTTCTGGAGGAAGTGTTATGTAGGGAAACCTACAGCTTCTCTTCGTTAGGCGCCCCCCAGAAATCTTTGTGGCAGTCATAGGTGCTATTGTGATTCGAATCATTGGTATTTGGATAGGAAATTTTCAATCGTTAGAACTGCCAAAGTTGTAGAAGTATACAAAAAAATGGGGAAGTGAATGAACATTGACTGCATAGATGAGTTGATCCTTGAGTCTTAATGTTTATTTCATGATTTTAAGAAATATCTCAATTCTTTAAATGGGGAAATGTTTACGTTTCATAGGGCAAGTTTAATCTTGTGTTACTCTGTTTTTCCAGATGGTATATTCTTCATTCTGTGAGCTAAGATTTAATCATCATTCAGGTTAAGGGGAAGACTGTTTTTTTATTCTTTAGTCTTTTTTTTTTTCCAGTGTCAGTAACCTTTCTCTTTTTATCCTAACAGTTCCATCTTTTTTGGTTTTTTCTCTTTACCTGCCTTCTCTTTTCTGCCTCTGGGGGCTTGTTTTTGCATCTGGTTAGGATTTTGTTTTGTTGGGGGAGGGGTTGGGAGTCCTTGGCCATTGCATGAAACACTGGAGAAGATTTAGCTTTAACCAGGTTTATGAAAAGTTCAGAGAAGTCATCAGATTTAACAAGTCAAGGATTAAGAGTATAAAGCAGCTTCATTTAAGAATTTGGGTGCTTTATAACTTCTAACCAAAGCTAGACTTTGGGAAATGTACACACTTCTAGTTTCCAGTGGTAATGCTGAGTTTTAGCTAGGTTATCTTTCCTATATGAAAATGGAATTTATGTCGATTCCCTTTGCAAGCCAAGATCTTTCCCCAACTTGTATTGTGTTCTTATACATGATCTTGAAAGTATACTAGTGTTTATAGATCATTTTTCTTTGCTTTAAAAAAATTGTTTGAAGAAGTTAAGCTTAAATATCAAAGTAAAATGTTTATTCTGTAAAGTTCTCTTTTGTTTAATTAGGTGTTTGGTGACCAATAAATCTGCCTGGTTGAACTGGTGGAATCGAATTAGTAAGTTTGTGTAATAGTTGGC